ACTGCCCAGGACTTGCCCAATTAGAATGGTTGAATCGGCCGGTTTACTGGTTAGGCTGGTTATGCAAGCACTATCATCATGATTTGAGGTGATCTTTTCAGCATGCTGAGATCAATGTATGTGACAAATATATGGTATACAAAGCTTGAGAGAGAGAGAGAGAGAAAGACCTGTCCTGCAAGTATGAATTGTATTCACGAATGGTAGGCAAAGCAATCAGCCACCAAAGGATCAATCTATACACGATAACAGGGTTGCGAGGAGGAATCCAAAGGCAGTACTTGAGAAAGAACGTGTTCAGCTCTACAGTAAGGAACACGATACAAAGGCTAAGGACTTGGATGAATCTCCAAGGACCAAGCAATGGGTGCCACTCATCCTTATCCCACTGTGCAGGGGTGAATTGGCCAAGTGTGCGTTTCACCTTATTATTGATAAAAAAACAGTCAGTAAGCAAGATATTTTTCAGGTTGAAATTCAAGTACTTTGTTTCAATTCACACTGCTCAATCCAAATTATTCTTCATCATTAGTTTATAAATAGACATACATAAATCTACATACTGGCACACACACGTACATACACACACAATAAAATTGTAATCAATGAATCAATTTGATGTAATAAATCATGTCAATCATCAACTAATAGCTGTAATGGACAATGGCAGTTTTCAAATTCAGAAAATATAATACAATCTCTATGCAAAAAAATTATATATCAAAAAATGAAAAGCAAACAGTGAATATGCCAAGGAACCAAACCCATACATTGATCAAATCTCTAAAATGTATCAGGCTCAATGGGTGTGTAATGTGTACAGTATTAACAAATGAGAATGTCTGGTCAATGTTTCTGCAAGTAGATTACTGTAAGGGGATTCCACCTATAGACTCCACCCTCACCGGCAAACTGTAGCACTAATGAGGTTCAAGGATGCCCAATGTTCTAGAGCATTGCATGGGAGACAGGATTAGCTATAGCCCATCTATGCCACAAAAAGTAACAAACCAAAGGAGTGCCCTAGATCTCTTTTTTTTTCTCTCTTTTCTTTTCTTTTGTTTCTTTACCAAGGTTAACTTTTGCATCAAGTAGTAAACTGCTGACATTGGGTCAGGAGCACCAACGATCATTGACCTCTGTTTCATTAGTTCAAGCTCCCAAATAATCCAGGCAGTTGCATTTGCCTATCCTACAGTCAGCCTTGATAATATCTCTCTCGATAGGCCTCCACTATCCTCTAGGGTCAAAAATATAGAAACAACAAGAGTGGATTGATAATCAATGAAATTTTTTATCAAATAAGCAATGGTTCACCAATATGACAAAGCAAATAATCATACAATTTAGTTAACACCAATCATCAGTGTTCACACTAATGATCATAACCACCTTCCAATGTCAACTTTCAGGGGTGCCTCAAGAAACAGCATATATAGCTCAAGCTATATTAGGACTAGTAATATGAGATACTGCTAGTTATTGACAATGCTCTTATCTAGGTAGGATCAGTATCTAAAAACAAGAAACTTGGCCCGGACAAGGATAGGGGCCCAAGTTTGAGTATGCAAGTTAAACTTGAATGAATTTCAACAAAACTCAGTTGAGTATATAAAAAAAAACAAAAGAAGGGGATGGAAAAGGTGAGATTCAGGTCAGTCCCTAGTTACTGGCTCAAGACCCGGTGAGTTATAAAAAACTGGGTAGTATAAGCAATGCTAGCCCTCATCTTTTAACACTTTTCTATTCTCCAAAGGTACACACATAGTTTGCATTCCAAAATTCTTTCATATCAGGCATCTTGCTAGCCAACTCAGGCTGCGGAAGGTACATCCTTTTTATCATTTACAATGCTCTCTTTTAAACAGCCAATGGCTTCAGATCACTTTTCAGTGTCTTTGTTAAAAATTCTGGTGACCAACCAGATCTCACCCTCATTTGCAATAAGATCACTGCAGAGGAAAAAAAATGATGACACTCGTGAATCACAAAATATGATAACGAGAATCAACAGTTGAACCCTAGATCAAAATTAGTATCAGACCTTTCAAGACTAGGTTCCAGGTTGGCATTTAGACAATACCTAAAGGTAAAAAGAAGTCATCGACAAGATATCCCCAAATTCTCCAAATGATTGCCGCTATAGCTCCTCCCTTTGAAGAAGATTTATTGGTTTATACACCATTTGAAATGGAAAACCTATTCTTTAAAAGTACATAAAGTAAGCAAATAATGATATAAGCTCCCTAAATGCCAACATATCAATGATTTAAAGTAATACCAGTAGGCAAGGGATCCTAGACTTCAAATGCAGTGACTCTAAAAAGCTATCAGCCACCACAATTGAGTTCAATGTTCGATTCGAGGATCACATCATACGAGATTTGATAGGACAACGATCACTTCGAGGTCGAGATGATCAATTGGAAGGTTTTCCAACTGCAATACATAGTATATCGGCCACCAGAATTGAATATTGTCCTATCAAATCTTATATGATGTGATCAATATAATGTGCAAATGAACCTGAAAAGCACATACCTTCTCTTAATGTCCACAGCGACCAAAAACGTTTACACTAGGATCAGGTCTCAACAAGAAGAGAACAGCATCCTAGTAACGTCAGCATCAATACTCAACGCATTTCCCAAATAATGCTCCAATGGGAATCATATGTTTCAATAAGTATATATTAATAGAAGTTTTGTTGCCTGGAAGTAGTCCAACCAAAGCTTCACGGAAAGGTCACTTAGAAGTATTTATATGGTGCCCACCTTATCCTATACAAGTAGGTGCACCTCTAAATTTTATTGGAAGATGTTCCAACGTCAAAATCTTATGATGGCCTCAAAATCCATGTTCATCCCTAGTTATGAAATTTAAAATTCAAAAACCGGTACAAAATCAAGCATATCTATAAATACTTGGAGATTTTGAAAACAGACGTTCTAGATAACTTGTTACAAGATGCACTATTTTTAGGACTTGAAATTCTTTTTTTTCTTTATATACATGAATCTCGAGGTTAAAATGATCAATTGGAAGATTTTCCAACTTCAAAACATTCTTTTTTATAGGATTTTTGAGGTTCACGTTACTTCTATAGTATAAGGTTGCACCCTTAAAAAACTTTCTTCTATCTATAATAGGCTCCCCTTATTGTATGCCAAGGCTTTCACATTGCACTCATGCACAAGAAATATTGAATGATTCCCTCAAATTGGAGATATTGATGGGCTCTGTAGGCCTCTTCCAATGGTCCGCCAACACTCTAAGCGCCCATTTGGGTGCACATTTTTAGCAATAAGACTTTTACACCCATTTAAGATTCACAGACCAGCTTGGTCAGATTCTATCTAGGGCGGAGATTATTTTTGGGTGTGGTTTGCATAAGGTTGCAACCTTGAACAATCAAGTTAAACAATCAAATTAAGGTGCACCCCCAAACTTTGTCATGAGATGCAAATTTTGCGTCAAAAATTCTAAAGATTGTGCGAGAATCTATTTTTATCTCTGATTACAAAATTTTGAACTCCAAAAATGTTCAAACGCATGAAAATCTTGAAAATGAACGGTCCACGTAATGTGTTGCAAGATATACTTTTTTAGGACTTGAAATATCTTTTTTTCTTCATATTTATACATCAAGATGTCAAGATGATCAATTAGATGTTTTTCCAAAATCAAAACAACCTTTTTTGCGAAGAATTTAGATGTGCACCTTAATACTACATTTTAAGGTGTCAACCTTATATCAACTTTTTCCTACTTTTTATAGTCTGTTTTTTCCCAAAACCCTGCCGAAACTCTGATATGACTACATGACTGAACCCAGTTTTCCTTTGCCCCACAAAAAGGTGGACTTCTTTGTTATGACTATGATCACTTTATAGATTCACAGGATTGCCCATAAAAAGTGCCATATTATTCTTTAATAAGATTTTTCTTTCTTTCTTTTTTTTTTTTGAAATTGTAAACTTTGTATTAAGAGAAGACATATATGGTTTACAAAAAAAGGCCACCTTAAAGGCGGGGGCTATTTAAAAGATTATTAAGGTGTCCATTGCCCAAACAGCACCTAAATGATTAGCACAAAGACAAGGATAACGTCTGGCCTTAAGCAGAACCTGGCCAGCCAATCCTTCACTAAATTTAGAATATCAAGCCAATGAAGTTGAAGGTTTCTGTGTTTCTGACCTTGAATCTCCCTCTTGCCCCATGGCCTTGGGGGCCACAAGAACCTGGGTGGAAATTCCTATGGGTGCTCACCACCCGTCTCAGCCAGATGTCATTACAATACAACTTCCCAACACCAATCAAATCAGCACTAACATTCATATTGATATTAACTTATGTATGAAACGGTACACAAGTGATGAGAATGACGCTCAGAACTCCCTCTCATATAGGACACCAAAGAGATTAGGTTTTTTCAGAAAGTCATATCAATCTAAAGAAAGGATCTAATGAAAATATCCGCTAGTAGCATTTTTTCTTTTTTCTTCTTTTTTTTTTTTTCGAGTATGAGTCTAATGTCATCCAACATTCTCACCAATTGTGCACAAGATCATGAAAATAACACCACCTCAGTTTCAAATTTGGAACATTCTCATACACGTAACATCAAATAACATAATTGGTTGTTAGAACCTACTTTACTCATAATATTCGGCTGCCGACTTATCCCCACCCATTCATATGTTCTACCATCGAAGTATCGGACTGTGTGCATTCCAGCCCATATACCTACATCAAAGGGAAACCATGTGATTCCAAATGTTAATTGAAATCCCTAAACAATTCTCAAGTTCAGAAGCAGTATTAGCAAGAAACAAATGTTTTCGGATTGCAGGATGAACCAGAAGACATTGTGCAATCATAAGTTTCTCAATCAACTTTTAAAATATTATCTGGAAATAAGAATTTGCGATTTCTTTATGCACAAAGGACTTAGTATTGAGTTCCCGTACTTGTGGTATTATTACAAAGGTGGTGAAACATAAAAGGCATCTTATGGACTACACATGCAATTTCAAAATTACCTTAAAGAAAAAGCATAGTAGCAAAGTTCTAAATGACTATCATATACAAAACAGATGATGGGATTCACAACTTTTGCCATGTTTAAACACAGAACCAGGGTTACCGGGCCCTTCCATTTAAGGTACACTCCCACTCCCAAAACACGGTTCCATGGTATGGGAGAGGAAATGTGCTTCCATTCTATATAACATGTTCCTTTCCTTCATGGGTACTCCTTCCCCTGACGTCATTCAGAAAGATACCCTTCCCCTCAATGGCAGTCCCCATTATAGGACCCACAAAATGCATACAAGGCAATTTATAGGTTCATAGAAGGACAAACATTCTCATTACAGACCAAATCCAAATGGGATATCAAGCTTTGAAATAACTGCTGGCACTTTTGATGGACGTGATTCTTTGCTGAGGCCTAGTCCATTAGTAAGTTCAATTGAAGAAGGAAAGCTCAAACATCACTAAGTTCTTGAAAGGCCCATATGGGTCGTTTGGGACCCTAGGATATGCAAAATCCTTCTTTTGCATATCCAGGTTTTGATGGCCTAAGGTCGTTTGGCTGTATTTTGTAAGCGCATATCCAGGAATCCACATCCTCAAAACCCCTCATTCCAACATTTGCTCATTCCAAAAAACAAAAGTTGGAATGAGCAAATCCAAGCTTTTTGCATTGGGGCACGTGCCCCTTCCCCTTTTTTGTTCTCTCATAATAATAATAA